GTGGTTCCAGCTACTTGGAAGGCTGAGGTGGAAGGATCTCCTGAGCCCAGCAGGTTGAGGCTGCGGTGGCTGTGAGCATGCCACTGTACTCCAGTCTGGGCGACAGTGAGACTCCAACTCAAATAAATAAATAAATAAATATTTTTTTTTCTGGATATTGTAAACATTTTTATGACTTTTACAACTTAAAACATAGTTTTTTCTAATTTAGTAGCACAAATTTAAAATAGTTAACACTTTAAAAAATTTGCTAAGATCTTTTGTGTTTTAATTATGAAGAGAAGTTGAATTTATGAAAGGGTGAAGTGAATATTATTTTTAAATGCTAAGTCAACATCAAGGTCCTAGAATTATTCCCCCTTAAATTATGATGTACTTTAAAATACATATATTTTATGTAAAACTATACATTTTTAAACAGATGTTGCTGGATTTTGTATGCTCATATGTTATTTATAAGTCTTGACCTTTGAGGGAGAGAAGGATGAGACAGACATTGATATTGAACTGGTGGGCATGTATACAGATTCCACAGGTATAATAAGAGGTGTGTATATTCATGAAGGGGCTGCACATGTGTAGTAAGCAAAGTCATGTTAACATAACTCCCATGTTCACTAATACTTAACACTTTTAACATTTGTTATTTCTGGTCAGATTAACTGATGTACTTTCTTTAGGGTGACAACAATATTTAGGAAGGAACTTGATAGGTCTCTTAATTATATTGCCAATTTTAGGCAGTAATTATTTTTTTTAGTTCAAGAAACATTTATCACCTATAGTATAATAGCTTTTGAGCACCTACTAAATGCAAAGTACTGTTTCCTGTCTGCTGCAGGCCACCCTCATCTGTCTTGGCAACTTCTCTACGCCTGTGCCCCCTGCCCCATCCCCACGTGGCTCAGTGGAGTCAGAGTCTCATTCTGTCACCCAGGCTACGGTGCAGTGTCACAGCCACCACAGCCTCGACCTGCTGGGTTCAGGCGATTCTTTCGCTTTTGCCTTCCAAGTAGCTGGAACAACAGGTGTGCATCACCACATCTAGCTAATTTTTTTATTTATTGTAGAGATGAGGTCTTGCCCAGGCTGATCTCAAACCCATAGGCTCAGGCAGTCATCTTGTCTCTGCCTCCCAAAGTGCTGGGAGTATAGGTGTGAGTCACTGTGCTCAGCTCAAGATGTTTTAAACACTGCACGTGTTAACTTATTTGATCCTTACAACAACTCTAATGTTCCATCACTACCACTACTGCTAATAATAATAGCTTGTTAATATTTGTATTCTAGCTTGTATAACATTGTTTACTTACCATCTCCACTTAGATGACAATAGACAACCAAGACTTAACATGAACTCCTGATTATTTCCCTTTAAATATTTTTCTCTACCAGCAATTGTCCCTAGCTTAATTCATGGCAGCTCCATCCTTTCAGGGGCTCAGACCCAAAACTTTGGGCTCACCCTCAGTTCCTCTCATTTTTTTCATACCCACATCCAATTTTTCAATAAATCTAATGAGCTCTGTCTTCAAGATATATTCAGAATTCTACTACTCAACACCTCCATGACTACCACCCTCATCCAAACCACCACCAACTGGGACTGAAATAGTTACTGTAGCTTTCTGGCTTCCACTCTTGTCTTTCTCTAGGCTATTTTTCACTCTATGACCAATGTGCTCTTTTATTTTATTTTTTTTTTAATTTTTGAGTTGGAGTCTCACTCTGTCTCCCAGACTGGAGTGCAGTGGCACACTCCCGGCCACTGCAGCCTCAACCTTCTGGGCTCCAGCGATCCTTCTGCCTCAGCCTTCCAAGTAGCCGGAACTACAGGCACACACTACCACGCCCGGCTAATTTTTTGATTTATTGTAGAGATGAGGTCTCACCAAGTTGTCCAGGTGAGTCTTGAACATGGGCTTAGGCAATCCACTCGCCTCAGCCTCCCAAAGTGCTGGGATTACAGGCTGAGCCATCGAGCCCAGCTGCAGTGTGCTCTCTTATAAAAACATTAGTCAAATCTCTTTCCTTCCTCAGTCAGAACCCTCAAATAGTTCCCATGTTCCTAGAGAACATTTTAGTTCTTCTGCGATCTATAATGCCCTCAGTGATTTGGGCATCGCCCTCCTCAACCCAGTCTTCTCCTGATCTTTTCCCCTCATTCTGTAGCTAACTACACCTGTCTCCCAGTTATTTTTCAAACTTGCTATTCGCACTCCAACCATAAAGCCTTGTTTTTACTTATTGATCTCTCTGTTTGGGATACTCTTCCCACAGAGATAATTCACATAACTCACTCTCTCAGGTTGCACTCACTTCCTTGAGCTCTTTACACAAATATTCACATTCTCATTGAGACCTCAACTGGCCGCACATGCTCATGCACACACACACACATACACACACTCTCACGCTTTTTTTTTTTTTTGAGGAGTCTCACTCTGTCACCTAGGCTGGAGGGCAGTGGCATGCTTCCGGCCACCATAGCCTCGACCTCCTGGGCTCAGGCGATCCTTCCACCCCGGCCTTAAAGTTGCTGGCACTACAGGCACACACCACCATGTCCGGCTAATTTTTTTATTTATTGTAGTGATGGGGGTATCACCAAGTTGCCCAGGCTGGTCTCAAACCCATGGGCTCAGGCAGTCCTCTCACCTAGACCTCCTAAAGTGCTGGGATTATAGGCGTGTGCCACAATGCCCGACCTTTCTCACACTTCTTATTTCCCTTCCCTTTTTGTTCTTCTTAGTCTGGTCACTCTTTAGCATATTTTACATATTTGTTGGATGTGAGCACAGATGTTTTTGGTTATGTGCTCACTGCTGTCCTCAGAGAAAGGATAGTACCTAGCATTGAGTAGGTGCTCAGTATGTGTTTATTTTATTTTATTTTTTGAGTTGGAGTCTCACTCTGTTGCCCAGACTGAAGTGCAGTGGCTGCTCCTGGCCACCGCAGCCTCGACCTGCTGGGCTCCGGCGATCCTTCCGCCTCAGCCTTCCAAGTAGCTGGAACTACAGGTGCGCGCTACCACACCCAGCTAATTTTTTTTGATTTATTGTAGAGATGAGATCTTGCCAAGTTGCCCAGGCGGGTCTCGAACCCACGGGCTCAGGCAGTCCACTCACCTCAGCCTCCCAAAGGCGCGGGATTATAGGTTGAGCCACCGAGCCCGGCTCAGTATGTGTTTAATGAGCAGATTTATAACTGCTTTATGGATGATGACCCTGAAGCAAGCTGACTTGCTGACATCCACACAGCCAGCAGATGGCTCCAGAGTTCGTGCTCTTCACCTATCACACATTCAGTATACAGCTTGATATTTATGTAGAATTAAAATTAAAGAAAACATGTTCTTAATTTTCTCACTTTTTGGAGAAATAAATATGCCGGTTTTTAAGTGGGTAAGTTTTAAATGGTATAAAAACCTTGTCCTGGTTTTATTTGGATTGACAGGTGATTCATCCTAAAAGTGATGAACAGAGATGCAGACTTCAGGAAGCTTGCAAAGATATTCTCCTTTTCAAAAATCTTGATCAGGTAACATTCATTTTTAAAGTATTTTTGTTATAATGGTCTTTTTTAGTTTTTTTCCTGTTTGTCACTTAAACAATTTTTAGCATCTAGCTATGGTTGTATGAAGTATCAATTTTAAATTTATCTTACTCACAAATGCTTTCATTGTGTTGACCACTGTAACCCAGACATGACCTTTCAGATGCCTTTTGGCACAGCAGTTCTCCTTTATCCACAGTTTCACTTTCCATGTTGTCTGTAGTCAACCATGGCCCAAAAATATTAAATGAAGTATTCCAGAAGTAAACAATTTCTAGGTTTTCAGTGACGTGCCATTCTAAATATTGTGATAAAATCTTGTCCCATCTCACTGTGTCCCACCCAGGACGTGAATCACCACTTTGTCCAACATATCCATGCTGTATATGCTGCCCATCTGTTAGTCACTTAGTAATCATGTAGCAGTACTTGTGTTCAAGTAACCTTTATTTTACTTAATTATGGCCCCAAAGCACAAGAGAAGCAATGCAGACAATTCAGATATGCCAAAGAAAAGCCATAAAATGGCCGGACTTGGTGGCTTACACCTGTAATCCCAGCACTTTGGGAGGCTGAGGTGAGAGGATTGCTTGAACCCTCATGGGTTCGAGACCAGCCTGGGCAACTTGATGAGACCTCATTTCTACAATAAATAAATAAATAAAAATTAGCTGGGCATGGTGGCACATGCCTGTAGTTCCAGCTACTTGCGAGGCCGACGCGGAAGGTTCGCCTGAGCCCCACAGGTCAATGCTGAGGTGGCTGTGAGCATGCCACTGCTCTCCAACCTGGGTGACAGAATGAGACTCCAACTCAAAAAAAAAGGAAAAGGAAAACCATAAAATTCTTCCTTTAAGTGAATCTATTCCTGAAATGGTGAAGAAGGAAAAGAAATTCATGCTAATTTTGCTGTTGCACCTCAAACTGCAAAAGTCATGACCACAGTGTATGATAAGTGCTTGGTTAAGATGGAAAAGACATTAAATTTGTGGGTGGAAGGCATCAACAGATGTGTTTTGATTGACAGCAATTGGGTTAGGTTTCAGGCATCCACTAGGGGTCTTGGAACGTGTGCCCCAGGGACAAGGGGGACACTACCTTACTTTTCTGGGCTATTTTGGCACTTCCTCCAAGATAATACTGGTAATTTGAGGACCATGCAATTTGATCACGTTGCAAGGAAATGCTTAGGTTTACATAACGCTGGCTTAGTTTAGATGGTCTGAGTTTATGCTGAAAATAGATTGATTTCTCTGAAAATGCTGATATTGAGTTCCTTCATCTGTAGCAGTTAACCCAGTAAAGTAAGCAGTTACAAAGGTATGGGGCACCTCTTGTAACTGCTTCTCAGTGAAGACTTCAGATGTGGAACACTTCTTATGGATAGTGTGTTTCTCTAGGGCTTAGCATAGGACCTGTGGTCTAACCTATCTTCCCTCTCTTGGTGGTGCAAATACCAAAGTTGCAAAAAAAGTATATACATTTTTAAAAAAGAAAACACTGTATTAAAATTGTAATATTCACTATATACCTATAACAGAAGATGAATACAAATCATGTTTGACTTCTGCATTTACACATTGGTACCATAATTCAATTCAGCTTCAAAAAGTAATATATAGATAACAGTGCTTTAAATGTATATACATTTTTTTGGCACCCCGATAGAGAACAAAGGCTACATCCCGAGGATAAATATACTAGTATATTCAGGCTGCTATTTACCAAAATCCCATAAACTGGGTGGCTTATAAACAACAGGAATTTCTCACAGTTTTGGAGTCTGAGAAGTCTAAGATCAAGGTATCAGCAAATTTGGTGTCTGGTGAGGGAGTCCACATAGATGGCGTCTTATCTCTGGGTGCTCATATGATGGAAGGAGAGAAAGAACTCTCTTTCATGAGGGCCCTGATCCCACTCATGATCTAATCTATTCCCCAAAACCTTTCCTCCTAATACCATCACATTGGGAGTCAGGTTTCGACATATGAATTTTGGGCTGACAAACGGTTTATAGCAATAGAGAATCTTTAGATTTCCTATTTCTCCTCTATTTTGAAAGCCACAGACTAAAATCACATGAATGACTGAGGTACTGGGCCTTTTGAGAAAATGCAAAATGTGCAGCGACAGGAAGGTTGGGATTACATTTCCGTTACTACCCACTTCCATCAAAAGCAGACTTCTGAAGACATTTCCACATCCCTCACTGAGAATCTAGCTGGTCAGACATGAGTTCATGGTGCATCAGTCAAGGGAATCAACCAAACCTGCTGTCTGTAAACGAGTCTGGTAGCTGTGTGGTTTACAGAAATAGCTGGAACTTTACTCAGAGCTTGTTAGTATGAGATTGAATAAAACAAGGATCATGAGCTCAAGGAAAGACTGGTTGTAAGAAACACTTGTTTGTGCTAGCTGTTTTCCCTGGAAGACCTCTCCATGTAAATGGAAGGGAAACTTCCTTCTTTATCAACTGTGAATAATGCCTCTTGTAAATTGTATACCATCAGAGTTGTGGTAAGGGAAATTTATATGTCAATCTAATATTCAGAGTTTTCTTATTACTAAAGAATACTGTTTTACATTTTAGTGTTGAAAAATTATGACTAAGGCCAGGCACTGTGGCTCACACTTGTAATCCTAGCACTTTGAGAGGTTGGAGCAAGAGGATCACTTGATACCCACATAGTCTCAGCTACTTGGGCAACTGAGGCGGGAGGATGACTGGAACCCAGGAATTTAAGACCAGTCTGGGCCACATAGTGAGACCCCCATCTCTACAAAGTTTGTGGGCCCAGAAGTTCAAGACTGCAGTGAGCCATGACCATGTCACTGCACTCCAGCCTGGGTGACAGTAAGACCCTGACAAAAAAAGACAAGAAAAATAATGACTGAATTTTCAGACTCAATTATATTTTTTCTAAAATTTTATACTGAAGTTATTCAAACATACAGCAAAGTTTAAAGAATTTTATAGGAACATGTATATAATGATTGTCTTGATGCTAACATTAATATTTTACTGTGCTGGCTGGGCACGGTGGCTCAGCCTGTAATCCTAGCACTTTGGGAGGCCGAGGTGAGAGGATTGCCTGAGCCTGGGGGTTCAAGACCAGCCTGGGCAACTTGGTGAAACCTCGTCTCTGCAATAAATCACAAAAATTAGCCAGCCATGGTGATGTGCCTTAGTTCCAGCTACTTGGAAATCTGAGGCGGAATGATCGCCTAAGCCCAGCAGGTCGAGGCTGCGGTGGCCATGAGTGCACCACTGTACCTCCAGCCTGGGTGGCAGAGTGAGACTCTAATTTAAAAAAAAATTTTTTGTTTTACTATGCTTGCTCTATCATATACTATCTGCACATGCCTCAGCAAAAGGGGTCAGCAAACTTTTTCCTAAGTGGCCAAATAGTGTTTCTGTCACAACTATGCAACTCTGCCTTTGTAGCAGGAAAGCAGCCATAGACAACACATATGGTGTGACTGTGTTTCAGGAAATCGATATTTATAAAAACAGGTGGCAGTTTACTGGCCTCTGCTTTAACCCATCTTATTTTAAGGGGTGCATTTCAGAATAAATTGCAGATATCAACATACTTTCCCCCTCGATACTTTGACATGCATATCATTCACTGGAGTTCAATGCTTGTTTATAGTTTATTTTGTTTTTGTTTTAGTTAGAGTTTCGCTCTGACACCTAGGCTGGACTACAGTGGCACAGTCACGGCTCACCACAATCTTTTTATTTTTATTTTTTGAGTTGGAGTCTCACTCTGTTGCCCAGGCTGGAGTGCTTTGGCATGCTTACCCCAGCGTCGATCTACTGGGCTCCGGCAATCCTTCCACCTCAGCCTTTCAAGTAGCTAGAACTACAGCTACTTGAGGCAACTAATTTTTATTTATTGTAGAGATGAGGTCTCACCAAGTTGCCCGGGCTGGTCTCAAACCCATGGGCTAACGCAATCTACTCTCCTTGACCTTCCAAAATGCTTGGATTGAAGGCTGAGCCACCAAGCCCGGCCCACAATCTTGAACTCCTGGGCTCAAGTGAGCCACCTGCCTCAGCTTCTCAGTAGGTAGTACTACAGGTACACAACTGGCTAAGTTTTTGATTTGATTTGATTTGATTTTTTTGTAGCGATGAGGTCTCACTATGTTGCCCAGGCTGATCTTCAACTCCTGGGCTCAAACATTCCTCTTGCCTCAGCCTCCCAAAGTGCTGATTATAGGTGTGAGCCACCACACCTAGCCTGTACAAATCTTAAGTGTGCATTAATGAGGTTTTTTTTGTTTGTTTTTTGTTTTGTTTTGTTTTTGAGTTAGAGTCTCACTCTTTGTTGCCCAGGCTGGAGTGCAGTGGCACGCTAATGGCCACCGCAGCCTCAACCTGCTGGGTTCAGGCGATCCTTCTGCCTCAGTCTTCCAAATAGCTAGAACTACAGACACACCCCACCATGCCTGGCTAATTTTTGTGATTTATTGTGGAAACGAGATCCCACCAAGTTGCCCAGGCTGGCCTTGAACCCCTGTGCTCAGGCAATCCTCTCGCCTCGGCATCCCAAAGTTCTGTGATTACATGCTGAGCCACAGTGCCCGACCAAGCTGAGGTTTGACAAATGCATAACTTTAGGTATCCCAAACTTCTATCAAGATATAGAACATTGCTACCACCCCAAAACCACACCACTTATGCCTCTTCATGATCAATTCTTACCCCTCTCCCCTCAGAGGCAGATACTGTTTTGGTTTATTTTATAATAGATTCGTTTTGACTGTTCTAGAGTTTTCCATAAATGAAATTGTATTGTATGTATGCTTGTGTGAGGTCTCGTTCTCTCAGCACAATGTTTTTGAGGTTCAGGCATGTTGTTACATGTATCAGTAGTTTGTTCCTTTTTTATTTTTTATTTTGAACCAACTGTAGACTAACAAAAAGGTTGCAAAAGTAGTAGAGAGTTAATAAATACCTCTTATTCAGCTTTCCCCAATATATATATTTGTGTGTGTGTGTGTGTGATGTATTGTAGAAATTCGGTCTTGCCAAGTTGCCCAGGCTGGTCTCAAACCCCTAAGGTCAGTCAATCTTCTTGCCTCTGCCTCCCAAAGTGCTGGGATTATAGGTATGAGCTATCATGCCCAGCTTCCCCAATATTAACATCTTACTTAACCATAGTACAGTTATCAAAGCCAATAAATTATTAGTTATAATACTATACATTAAACTATAAACTTTACTGCAGTTTCATCGCATTCCAGTTATTTTTCTCACTAGTGTCTTTTTGCTGTTTGAGGATCCAGTCTAGGATTCCACACTGTACTTAGTTGTTATTTCTTCTTAGTCTCCCCCGATCTGTGGCAGTTTTCATTCCTTCTTGTCTCTCATAGTCTCAACACTTTGAAGAGTACTAGTTAGTTTTCTATAGAATGTCCCTGAATTAGAATATCAGATGTTTCCTCGTGATTTTGGAATATGATTATACATTTTTGGCCAGATTACCATAGAAATTATATCAAGGAGTTCATGATGTCAGTATGTCTTACTGCCAGTGATAATACTATAATATTAATAAACCCAAGAAATTTAACATTAGTTTAATAATATCACCCAGTTTCCCCAGGAAGGTTCTATATAGCTTTTTGTTTTGTTTTTCAACCCTGAATCACATACATTAAGTCCTCACTTAACATTCTGAGTCAAATATGGTGAGTCCTCACTTAATGTCATTGATAGACTTGGCAATCAACATTAAGCAAAATGACGTATAATGAAACCAGTTTTTTTTTCGCATCAGTGTTTAGAAAAATGATGTTATTTGAAGACATATTATACATCGTTTTGCTTCGTCAGTTTCCAAAAACCTATTGACCATGTTAAATGAGTACTTTGTGCCAGGCACAGTGGTTCACATCTGTAATCCCAGCACTTTGGGAGGCAGAGGTGAGAAGATTGCCTGAGTCCATGAGTTCAAGACCAGCCTAGGCGACTTGGTGAGACCTCATCTCTACAGTAAATCAAAAAATTAGGGCAACCCCTTCGGGTCCCAACCCACTGTGGGAGGTTTTCTGTCCTCTCAATAAATCCTGCTTTCTTTAAAAAAAAATTAGCTGGACATGGTGACACACACCTGTAATTCCAGCTACTTGGAAGACTGAAGCAGAGGGATCACCTAAACCCAGCAGGTCAGGGTGGTGGTGGCCATGAGTGTGCCACTGCACTCCAGCTTGGATGACAGAGTGAGACTTCTACTAAAAAATAATTAATTAATAAAATTTTTTAAAGTGAGGACTTCGTGTTTTTCATTTGGTTGTCGTACTGTTATTTTAATCTCTCCTAACCTAGAATGCTCCCCTTTGCCTCATCTTATTTATATATCATGCATTTTTGAAGAGTACAGGCTAAAAGAAGAAAAGTTATTCAAAAACAAAGAACTTCTAACAGACAGCCCACAGGCCAGGTACAGATGTGTGAGTGTTTAGTCAGTGTTGTATGTGAAAATTTGAATTTATTTCCTATATTTAAATAGGAGATTTCTGTCAACACTGAGCTCACATTCCACATAAATGTGGCTAGCATGTGAGTAGCAAGCTATCCCTTTTAGTATTTGTCAACTTGTACAATATTCAATATATTTAGAACTAAAGATGCTTTTTAGTGATACTTATCTTAGATGGCATAGTCACCCTGATGGAACAGTAAATCACATGGAATTATACAGCAATAAAATTATTCCCTTTCCAGTTTCACAGCCTACACTCCTCCAGAGAATGAAATTGGTATTCTTTTTTTTTTTTTTTTTTTTTTGAGTCAGAGTCTCACTCTGTCACCCAGGCTGGAGTGCAGTGGCAAGCTCACAGCCATCGCAGCCTTGACCTGCTGGGCTCAGGTGATCCTTCTGCCTCAGCCTTCCAAGTAGCTGGAACCACAGGCACTTGCCACCATGCCCAGCTAATTTTTTGATTTATTGTAGAGATGAGGTCTCACCAAGTTGCCCGGGCTTATCTCAAATCCATGGACTCAGGCAGTCCTCTCACCTCAGCCTCCCAAAGTGCTGGGATTATAGTTGTGAGCCACCGAGCCTGGCATTTTTTTTTAACTGTAGAGACGAGGTCTCATCAAGTTACGCAGGCTGTAGGACCCCTAGACTCAGGCAGTCCTCTTGCTTCTGCCTCCCAAAGTGCTGGGATTACAGGCATGAGCCACTAGACCCAGCCTATAATTCAGTAGTATTGCTTTCTCTCACAATTCCTTGCATTCTTCCTTTCCAACTTGGGCCTGGTAGAATGACACCCACAGAGAAGGGTGGCGAGAAGAAGAAAGGCTGTTCTGCCATCAGCAAGGTGGTGACCCGAAAATATACCATCAACATTCACAAGCACATCCATGTAGTGTTCTTCAGGAAGCATGCCTGGGCACTTGGAGTGATCCAAAAATTTGCCATGAAGGAAATCGGGACTCCAGATGTGTGCATTGACAACAGGCTCAACAAAGCTGACTGGGCCAAAAGAATAAAGAATGTCCTGTACCATACTTGTGTGTGGTTGTCCAGAAAACATAACAAGCTTTATACTTTGGTTACCTATGTACCTATTACCACTTTCTTTTCTTTTCTTTTTTTTTTTTGAGTTGGAGTCTCACTCTGTCACACAGACTGGAGTGCAGTGGCCGCTCCTGGCCACCGCAGCCTCGACCTGCTGGGCTCCAGTGATCCTTCCACCTCAGCCTTCCAAGTAGCCGGAATTACGGGCATGTGCTACCACGCCCGGCTGATTTTTTGATTTATTGTAGAGATGAGATCTTGTTGCCCAGGCAGGTCTCGAACCCTCAGTCTCAGGCAATCCATTCACCTCGGCCTCCCAAAGGCGCGGGATTACAGGCTGAGCCACCACGCCCGGCCTCTTTTCTTTTCTTTTTTTTGAGTTGGAATCTCACCCTATTACCCAGGCTGGAATACAGTAGCACGTACGGTCATTGCAGCCTCAACCTGCTGGGCTCAGGTGATCCTTCCACCTCAGCCTTCCAAATAACTGGAACTACAGGCATATGCCACCACGCCCGGCTAATTTTTTGATTTATTGTAGAGATGAAATTTCACCGAGTTGCCCAAGCTGGTCTTGAACCTGTGGGCTCAAGCAATCCTCTCACCTTGGCCTCCCAAAGTGTGGGATTATAGGCATGAGCCACCATTCCCAGCCCTATTACCACTTTCAAAAATCTGCAGTCAATGTGGATGAGAACTAATAACTGATCGTCAAGTACATTAAAGTTATAAAACTTCAAAAATAAAGACTTTAATAGTATTATTCTCTTTTCATGATACTTATTAGCATAGTTATATTCTAGTTATGGCAGATATATTGGTAAGTAAGTAATTATATGTGTTGTAAATAAATTAAGCAATATTAGCTTAGATCCCATTTATTGAATACCTGTTATTTAGTAAATATTCTTGTTAGATTTTTCTTCTTTGGTTATACAAATTGATAAGCTAGAAACTTTTTTTTTTTTTGGAGTTGGAGTCTCACTCTATTGCCCAGACTGGAGTGCAGTGACCGCTTCTGGCCACCATAGCCTTGACCTGCTGGGCTCCAGTGATCCTTCTGCCTCAGCCTTCCAAGTAGCTGGAACTACGGGCACACGCTACCATGCCCGGCTAAATTTTTGATTTATTGTAGAGATGAGGTCTCGCCAAGTTGCCCAAGCAGGTCTCAAACACGTGGGCTCAGGCAATCCACTCACCTCAACCTCCCAAAGCACGGGATTATAGGCTGAGCCACCGAGCCCGGCTTAAGCTAGAAACTTTATTACACTCTTTTTACATATGAAGAAATTGAAGCTCAGCAAGGCTGAATGATGTATTTGGCTAGTCAGAGGTAGCTTTACAAGATAATGTCCAAGGCCATCACAGCCCATTAGATTCGATGATCTGTTAAGGTCACCACCTATAAGAAGGTAGCAGCACATGACTTTACACATGACATGGTAGAGCCATTCATGTCAGTGTTGCTGGGAGAACATGGACCAGGATTTAGATAACCTATTTTTGTGTAAATTGTGGTAAGATTTCTCAAAACAATATTGCTTCAGAAAACTTGGCAGTTTAGCTGTCTGCTGAAGTACATGAAGGTGCAAAGCTGAAATAGTCCCAGGAAAGCTTTTGTTTCAGACAACCATTAGGTTTCTGCTTGAATGTGATGAACAGTCTCGTGGGGAAACTTAAATTATATAGTTACAAACTGAGATAAGCATGATCATTATTTTTTTTCCAGCTAATAAAAACCATCTTTTTTCATCTGTGTACCCTACAGGAACAGCTTTCTCAAGTTCTTGATGCCATGTTTGAAAGGATAGTTAAAGTTGACGAGCATGTCATTGACCAAGGAGATGATGGAGACAACTTTTATGTCATAGAACGGTAGGAGATAGAACTTTGCAATTGTGTGACTACATTTAATCAGATTCATAATCCAGGGCAGATGCTTTATCTTATGCTGTATTCAGCCCAGAGAGGCTTAGGGTCAAGTGAACAAGCGTCCCAAACCCTTGTAAAGATCCACATTATGCTCCTCTGTACCTACTGTTGTCCTGAGTCCTCAGCACAACCCATATTTGGAGAGCCACCATCTACAATAGAACATCTCCTTTATAGTCAGATGAGGAGGTCAAGACATGCTTTATAAACATGTTATTTGCCAGTGTTCAAGTGAACTGATTCCCTGAAAAATAGCCATGGTACTAAATTGTCATTTGGATCTTTGAATTCTAGCCTCATTTTACATAAGAATACTGCCCTTCCCTCCATCCCCCTGGCCCCCTTTGGCTCTGTTCTATGTATAAGAAATATTGGGAAAAATGAAATATTCAGGTTTGATGTCCTGGCTCTACTGTGTTCTAACCTCTTGAGCTGTTTAGTATCCTCTTTGGCAGGAAGATTGGGGGGGTGTCCTTCTGATTCTTCTCAGTCCAGAAAGAAACACCCTCACCAGAGTGAAAGATCAATAAGATGTTGCTTCACCCAATATGTTCCATTCCTTTTTTTAAAAAATTTTCTTTTGAAGTAATTTCAGGGTTATAGAAAAGATTATAAAACAGTCCAAAAAGCTCTCATAACCACAGGTTCCCCAGGTTAATGTTTTACTACCTTTGCTTTATCAAGTTGTTTGAGAGTAAGTTTCAGATATAATGCCCCTTCATCACTGAATACCTCAGTGTGTATTTCCTAAACATAGTGACATTCTCTTACTTAAGCACAGAACAATTATAAAAATCACAAGTTAACATTTATACAATACTACATCTAATGTACAGACCTTAGTCAGATTTTTCCAATTCTTCCCTTGATTGTTTAGTCTCCATCAAGTCACTGTACTAGATTCATTTGGTCCTCTTTCTTGTTGAGCCTTTGCGCATTTAGGTTATTGAACAGAAGATGCTTTCACTTTCTGGGTAAGCTTTGGATCTTTGATACTTGTGACAAAGTAGTACAGTTAAAAGAAATGTTTTATTTATTTATTTATAGATTAGAAAGTATAGTTTATTTGAGAGAGAGAGAGAGAGAGAAGATTCACCTCCCCAAGGTGGGGGGCGGGACACAGCCAGTAAGCATGGCAACAACCATAGCTCAAAGAGCACGTGGTGGCCACACCAGAGTCTAGCCAGGCAATGGCCAGAAATGTTTTATTTAAAGAGTAAAGAGCCCGGGCTCAGTGGCTCAGCTGTAATCCCAGCACTTTGGGAGGCCGAGGCGAGAAGATTGCCTGAGTCCAGGGATTTGAGAGCAGACTGGACAACTTGGCAAGACCTCGTCTCAACAATAAATCAAAAAATTAGCCAGGCATGGTGGCACATGTCTATAGTTCCAGCTACTTGGAAGGCTAAGGCAGAAGGATTGCCAGAGCCCAGCGGGTCAATGCTGGGGTGGCTGTGAGTGTACCACTGCATTCCAGCCTGGGTGACGAAGCAAGACTCCAACTCAAAAAAGAAAAAAAAAAAGAGTAAAGATGATACAAGTAATATCTTTTCAGGAAAAAGACTTTGTCTCTTCATCTTTTATGCTAATACTTCCTATACAGAACATCTACAAGTAATGACAGAATAATTTTTTTTAAGTTGTTACTACCTCCAGCAGCCGTCTTTCCCTGTTGCCCTGCTATATCCTTCCCCTATAAGACAGAGGTCCCAATAGGCACCTGTGGTTTTGGAAATAAGCATCTGCTTGCAGGTGTCCACAAATTAAAGCTTGAAATGTGTATCTACAAAGGGACTGGTTTTGTTCCATATGTAAATGAAAGAGGTTATCCTTTGTACAGTGGTGATCAACAAGTAGGAAAGACTGTTAAGTAAAAGGGTACAGTTCCTGACCTCAAAAAGCTCATTGTTTAGTTTGAGAGAGAGGCCCCTGGATAGAAATTACATAAGGCGGTCACAATAATAACAAAAACATAGCCATTATTTACAGGGGCACCTGAATGGGAAAGGTTAAAAGAGGCTCTCTGTTGTGCTGCTGCATGAAATGATTTGTGTCATTCCCAAAGTTAAGTAGCTAGTGTCTCCTGGAGGCGAGACTAAAAACACTTCAGTGTATTTGCTCTGAATTCCTTGTTTCCTGTTCAAGGCCATATTGCTTTTGCCTTATCTACCAGGCCTAGTACAGATCAGCCCTCCTACTAAATGGTAAGCTCCCCTGAAACAGGGTTGGTGGAATGTAACTTGAATGTTTGGCTTTATTCGCTACCTTTCTTTTAATATATGATACTTAGTGGTTTTATAAGACAAGTAAAGTTTCTTTAGTTGGAATCTCACTCTGTCATCCAGGTTGGAATGCAGTGGCATGCTCAGGGCCACCGCAGCCTCGACCTGCTGGACTCAGGTGATCCTTCCACCAGCCTTCCAAGTAAACTTGGACTATAGGTTTGTGCCATCATGCCTGGCTAATTTTTTGATGTATTGTAGAGACAAGGTCTCACCAAGTTGCCCAGGCTGGTCTCGAACCTGTGGGTTCAGGCAGCCCTCTTGCCTCTGACTCCCAAAGTGCTGGGATTACAGGTGTGAGCCACCACACCCAGCATGAAGGTTCTTTATAGGAAATGTAGAATTAAAAAAATTGAAATGGGATAGAAAGTAATTTAGCCATATCCCATTACCAGAGTGTATCCTTTCATTATTTTTTCCCTCTCACCCAAAATTTGTTCAGATGTCAAGATGGTTGACACTATATATATACTAAAAAGTTAGGAAAAGGTTTATTATTTACACAGTGAGACTATTTGGAGAAAACAAGGGCAGACTCCAAAGCAGATCCAAAAGTGACTTGAGGCCTGCTCAGTGGCTCACTCCTATAATTCCAGCACTATGGGAGGCCAAAGCAGGAGGAGGATTGCTTGAGCCCAGGAGTTCAAGACTAGCCCGGGCAACATAGCAAGACCTATCTCTACAAAAAAATTAAAAATACCAGCTGTCCATGGTGACATGTGCCTGAAATCTAATTTGGGAGGCTGAGGAGGGAGGATTGCTTGAGCTCAGGAATGTGAGGCTGCAGTGAGCCATGATCATGCCACAGTACTGCAGCCAGGTGGATTTAAAAAAGAAAACAAAACATGAATAAAAATGACGTCAGGCAGCAGGAAATGGTGATTGGCTTGGGATTTTATGGTGGTTAGAAGGTAGGACTAGGTGAGAGTATTCTTACACGTGGGTTGGCATTCATGTTGTCTGAACTCTCCATCAGTACCAAAGGAGGGGAGCACCCATGCTTTCAGCTTTCCTATATGTGTGGCAGAAGAGGAAGGGTGAGTGGAGTGATAGGATTTGAAAGCTGTCAACAATCAAGTAGAAAAAATTGAGATGACTCTGTATTATATTTACTTTTTTTTAAGGATTTGGATGTTTATTTTATTATATTATATTATTTTATTTTTTTGAGTCAGAGTCTCATTCTGTTGCCCAGACTGGAGTGCAGTGGCACAGTCACAGCTCACTGCAACTTCAAACTCCTGGGCTCAAGCATTCCTCCTTACACCAGCCTCCCGAGTAGCAGGTAGAGTGTAGTGGCATAATCACGGCTCACTGTGGCTTCCAACTCCTGGGCTTATATAGTCCTCCTGCATCAGCCTCCTGAGTAGCTGGGACTACAGGTGCACACCACCACACCTGGCCAATTTTTAAATTTTTTGAGTAGAGATGGAGTCTCACTATGTTCAGGCTAGTCTCAAACCTCTGGCTTCAAAGGATCCTTCCATCTCGGCCTTCCAAAGTGCTGGGATTACAGATGTGTGCCACAGCAACTGCTTAAATTTATTTTAAGCATGTTGTATTGGAATGTTATCCTTCTTTTCTTCCTTCCTTCCTTCCTTCCTTCCTTCCTTCCTTTCCTTCCCTTCCTTTTCCTTCCCCTTCCCTTCCCTTGCTTTCCCCACTTCCCTTCCCTTCCTTTCTTTTTTTGAGTCGGAGGTCTCACTCTGTTGCCCAGGCTGGAGTGCAGTGGCACGATCATGGCTCACCGTAGCCTCAACCTCCTGGGCTCAGGTGATTCTTCTGTCTCAGCCTCCTGAGTAGGTGGAAATACAAATGCGTGCCACCATGACCAGCTAATTTTTTTTTTTTTTTTGTAGAGACAACGTCTCACTATGCTGCTCAGGCTAGACTTCAACTCCTGACTCAAGAGATTCTCCCACCTTGGCCTCCCAAAGTGCTGGGATTATAGGCATGAGCCATTGTGCCCAGCCCTTTTCTTTCTGACAGATTCTTGCTTTGTCACCCAGGCTAGAGTACAGTAGCATGATTACAGCTCACCATATCCTCCAACTCCCAGACTCAAGTGATCCTCCTGCCTCAGCCTCCCAAGAGACTACAGGTGTACACCAGGCTAAATTTTTTTTCTTTTCTTTTCTTTTTTGGTAGGACAAGTCCTAATTATTGCCCAGGCTGATCTTGAATTCCTAGCCTAAAATGATCCTCCCCCCTCGGCCTCCCAAAGTGTGGAGATTACAGGCATAAGCCACAATGTCCAGCCCTGTTACTATTTTTCTTTTTTTCTTTTTTTTTTTGAGTTGGAGTCTCACTTTATCGCCCAGGTTGGAGTGTAGTGGCACACTCACGGCTACCGCAGCCTCAACTTGCTGGGCTCAGGCGATCCTTCTACCTCAGCCTTCCAAGTAGCTGGCACTACAGGCATGCACCAACATGCCCAGCTAATTTTTTTGCTTTATTGTAGAGACGAGGTCTCACCACGTTGCCCAGGCTGGTCTCGAGCCCATGGGCTCAGGCAGCCCTCTTGCCTCTGCCTCCCAAAGTGCTGGGATTACAGGCATGAGCCACTGCACCTGACTTGCTAACACCATTCTTAATGGTGAAAGATTTTTTCCTCCTTAAGCTTAAGAATAAGATACCATTTCTACTTAATATGGTACTGGAGGTTCTATCCAATGCAACAAAGCAAAGAAAAGGAAGGAAAGGAAGGAGGCAGGGAAAGAAGCAAGGAAGAAAATGTGACATATACAAAATGGAATACTATTCAACCATAAAAAAAGAATGATGTTATGTCATTTGCAACAACATGGATGAAACTGGAGGTGATTATGTTAAGTGAAATAAACCAGGCATAGTAAGACAATTATACCATATCGTGTGGGTGCAAAAAAAACTTGACCGCAGAGACACAGAGGATAGAATCATAGATTCCAAAGACTGGGAAGGGTAGGTAGGTGGGAGGGGGATATAAAGAAAATGGGTTACGAGTTACAAATATAGAGTTAGAGAGAAGAAGTAAGTTCTAATGTTTTATTGCAGAATAGGATGACTATACTTAGCAGCAATACTTTGTATATTTCAAAGTAACTAGAAGAGAAGTCTTGAAATGATACCAATACATAGAAATGGCAAATAGTCAAGGTAATGGATACACCAAATACCCTGACTTGATAATTACATAGTCTTTGCATATAGTAAACACTCGCATGTACCTCAAAAATATGTAAAATATTACATATCAATGAACAAAAAAAAGTTGAATTAAAAATAGGAAAAAAAAGAATGAAGGAAGTGCATCAGGCATTCCTTTCAGACTAGAAAGGAAGAAGTTTGTTTCAGGTGATATGATTCTCCATGTAGAAAATACCAAGAATGTTACAAAAAAGCTTCTTGGGCTGGGCTCAGTGGCTTAGCCTGTAATCCCAGCACTTTGGTAGGCTGAGGCAAGTGGATTGCCTGAACTTGCAGGTTTGAGACCAGCCCCGGCAACTTGGCAAGACCTCGTCTCTACCATAAATAAAAAATTAGCCAGGCATAGTAATGTGCTCCTGTAGTTCTGGCTACTTGGAAGACTGAGGTGAAAGGATCACCTGAGCCCAGCAAGTCAACACTGGGGTGGCCATGAGCATGCCACTGCACTCCAGCCTGGGCGACGGAGTGAGACGCCAACTCAAAAAAATTAAAAAATAATAAATAAATAAATAAATAAAAACTGCTTGAACTAATAAGTGAGTTTAGCAAGGTCATAGTCAAAATACAAAAATCTGTTGTATTTTTGTATACTAGCAAAATTCCATTGGAAATCTCCATAACAATATCTTATGTCCTATTTAACTCTCATTTAACTAATGAGGCCAGGCATGGTGGCTCACACCTATAATCCTAGCACTTTGGGAGGCCGAGGTGAGAAGAGTGCCTGTGCCCACAGGTTTGAGACCAGCCTGGGCAACTTGGTGAGACCTCATCTCTACAAAAATTAGCCAGACGTGGTGACGCATGCCTGTAGTTCCAGTTACTTGGAAGACTGAGGTGGAAGGATCACCCGAACCCAGCAGGTCGAGGCTGCGGTGGCTGTGAGCGTGCCACTGCACTCCAGCCTGGGTGACAGAGTAAGACTCCAACTTGGAAAAAAAAAAAAAAAGTAACTAATGAAATTATTTCTTGTCATTCTTCCAGGGGAACCTATGACATTTTAGTAACAAAAGATAATCAAACCCGCTCTGTCGGTCAGTATGACAACCGTGGCAGTTTTGGAGAACTAGCTCTGATGTACAACACCCCAAGAGCTGCTACCATTGTCGCCACCTCAGAAGGATCCCTTTGGGGACTGGTGAGTGAGATAAATGGTTACCCTTGCAAGACACAGTATTAATTCCTCTTACTTCTGGGTCTCTGTCCTTGGGCTGTTGATTCACACTATATTTTACAACAAGCTATCTGAAACACGTTGTATAGGTCTTATACAACTGCATTTTTCCATTTCTTTAAAATGATTTGTCAACTAACTGTTCGCTCCAAGTTTCGAAGACAATACTGGATCTTGTGATCTTATAGTAGTATAAATTATTACATTTTCTATTTTGGGTTTTTTTTGGTTGTTGTTTGTTTTTTTTAAATCGGAGTCTCACTCATTCACCCAGGCTGGAGTGCAGTGGCACGCTCATGGACACCACAGCCTTGACCTGGTAGGCTCAGGCTATCCTTCTGCTTCAGCCTTCCAAGTAGCTGTAACTATAAGCGTGTGCCACCGAGCCCAGCTATTTTTTTGATTGATTGTAGAGACAAGGTCTCACCATGTTGCCAGACTGGTCTGAAACCCGTTGACTCAGTCAATCGTCCTCAGCCTCCTAAAGTGCTGGGATTATAGACATGAGCCACTACGCCCGGCAAATTTTCTATTTTTTCTTTTTTCTTCTTTTTTTTATCAGACTAGTGGAGAGAGAGGAGATAATTCTCCATAGAAGACGCAGCCTAGTAGCCAGGTGTGGTGACACATGCCTGTAATCCAAGCTATTTAGAAGGCTGAGATGGGAGGATCGCTTGAGCCCAGGAGTTCGAGGCTGCAGTGAGCCATGAGCATACCACTACACTCCAGCCTAGGTGACAGAATTAAAAAAAAAAAAAGAAGCAATCTAGAAAAACAGATGTCACTGAAAGATCTGCCAACAGTTTTTTCTGTTTCTAGATGTCCCAGGACCAACTTTTCTCTATGTTCAGCCATTCGCTTATTCATTGGTTCATGCCAATATCCAATAGACTTAGTTCTCTAGAAAGGCTGATGGCCATATTCTGAAAAAGATAATTTTTTCAGAATGTCTGAGACATAACACTACTGTGATCCCTATTTTCTGTTATACATGAGACACTTTGTGCATTAGTGCCAACTACTGGTTCAGGAATAGCCCTATTCTTTGCCAGTCTTCTCTCTCAAAACTAAAAAAAAAAAAAATTGTGGACATAATATAACAGACAAACATAGGAAGACCCTGAAAGCTGGAAAGAAGACTACCTAAGGATCTTGAGACTTGAAGAAAGACATGACAGTGAGTTCCTGGGTTTCTTTGTTGCTTTCTATATCCCAGGTGGGGTGCTAGAAGAACCTGCAACCCAGATATGCCAGCTGGTACATACAAAAACAGCCCTAAGAAAAACCTGCTACCTCTAAAGGACTAGGGAAAGGACGGCATAGCAGAACCAAAAACCTTTTTTGTTTGTTTGTTTTTTGAGTCAGGGTCTCACTCTGTGGCCCAGTGGAGTGCAGTGGCACAATCATGGCTACCACAACCTGGACCTGCTGGGCTCGGCACTCCTTCCATCTCAGCCTTCCAAGTAGCTAGAACCACAGGTGTGTAGCACCATGCCTGCTTAATTGTTTTGATTTATTGTAGGGTCTAGCCATGTTGCCCTGCCAGGGTAGTGTCAGATGGTCCCAGAGGGGAGCTGAGCACACACACACAAAATCACTACATCATATCCAAAATGTATAGGATGTAATTGAAAAACACTTGTCATACCAACAAAAAGGAAATTCTCCACTTAAATGAGAAAAGACAGTCAACACCAAGATGACACCGATGTTAGAATTAACCAACAAAAATTTTAAGGCAACCATCATAGAAATACTTCAACAAGCAATTATGAATATACTTGAAATAAAAAAATAGTCTCCTTGGATAAATAGAAGATAGAACAGATAGCCAAATGGAACTGGAAAAGAAAGTAACCCAAATAAAAGCTCATTGAATGGGCTCACCAGAATGAATATGATCGAGGAAAGAACCTTTGGAGATAGATCAATAAATATCATTCAATCTGCTCAAGAGAATATATAGACTGAAATGAAATGAACAGAGCTTATGGGACAGTAACAAAAGATATAGCATTTGTATCATCAGAATTGCAGAAGAGAAAGAGTGTGGAACAACAAAATTATTTTAAGATATAATGACTCAAAATTTCTTAAATTTTGGTTAAAGATATTAACATACAGGTTCAGAAAGCTGGACAAACACCAAACGGGATAAACCCAAAGAAATGCATTCCAAGACTCATCATAATTAAACTTTGAAAACTAAAGACAGAATAAATTCTGAAAGCAACTAGAGAGAAACAATACATTACCTAAAGAGAAACAATAGTTTGAATGACAGGGGATTTCTTGTCTATGGAAGCCCAAAATGGCACAGCATGTTTCAAGTGTTGAAAGGAAAAAACTGTCAATCAGAATTCCATACCTAGTGAAGATGTCCTTCAGGAATAAAGACATTCTCAGATGAAGGAAAACTAAGAGATTTTGTCACCAATAGGCGTGCTCCTGCTTCGTTCACTTGTTTTGCAAGTCCAAACTCTTACAAAGTTTCAGTAGAAGTTTCTCCCAAAGTTTCCCCTCCAGGGAACGTACTCTTAGAGGGTCCTCTCTGTCCCAACTTCTTTCTTGCATTTTGCAACACCTTGGAAATGCTTTCTGAGGCCAAAGCAGGGAGACCTGGTATTGTCACTGATCTGCTCAAGTTGGATCCTACATTCCTGCTTTTACAGGGGGTAGCTGCCACCATGACCCCTACACTCAAGTCTCTGCTCCTGCTCTCTCTTGCTTGAGTGAAAGTCGAAGATTTCCTGGGGAACTCCCAGTCACGGGAAAGGGTAGCACTCCTATTCTTTTTTGAATTTCGGGGCTTTTTTCTAAAATTTCAAATGCTTGCCTCTGAACACTTGCTGTCTGTTGGAGTTTCTTCTTAACTGCTCCATTAGAAGCTCCTCAAAGACTGTGTTGTTGGTGTCTGGTGCTTTTTTTTATATTCTCTACAGCTATCTATAAAAAACTCATTCAAATATAAGGAACTGGCATTGCATCATACACAAAGAGAGTTCTGGGAATTGTGAAAGTATGCATAGAAAGGACTAGAATTCAAATAAATAAGTCACTTTATGCAGTATCTGTTTTCTCTTTCATTAGAAATATTGTTTGCTGTTGCAGTTGTAATCTTTGTAACATTGTAGGTGTATTTATAAAATATTGTTTTTTGACAATGCCTACTCAAACCTAAGGAAGGGAGCTCTATAATTTCCCTTTTCTCAGTGTTATTTGTCTTCTTTTTACACTTTTGGCTTAGATTGGCCCAGAAGACATATAGAAACTGAATTATAAAGATAATGGCATAATATTCCTAAGTATGAAAATAACATTTTAAGCCGGGCTCGGTGGCTCAGCCTGTAATCCTGCGCCTTTGGGAGGCTGAGGTGAGTGGATTGCCTGAGCCCGCGGGTTTGAGACCCGCCTGGGCAGCAAGACCTCATCTCTACAATAAATCAAAAAATCAGCCGGGCATGGTAGTGCATGCCTGTAATTCCGGCTACTTGGAAGGCTGAGGTGGAAGGATCGCCAGAGCCCAGCAGGTCGAGGCTGTGGTGGCTGGGAGTGGCCACTGCACTCCAGTCTGGGCGACAGAGTGAGACTCCAACTCAAAAAAAAAAAAAAAAAAAAGAAAATAACATTTTAAATGCTACATCCTTAACCTTGGACTTTAAGAAAGTAATGACAGGTGATGCCGTTCATTAGAGTAATCAGAGATTGAATGACTCTTTTTAAGCAGAGTCATGGAGAAGAAAATGGAACAGAATCTGGTTAAATACCAGAGAGAAAACATTATTTGTATAGCAGTTTGGGGAGGGAGAGTAATGTAGGTAACTTCTCTTGGTAGGTAGATGAAAGATGACATAGGATAAGGCCTGGGAGTTCTACAGCTAATGGAACACAGTGAAACCCATTTAGACATCACAGCTCAGTTTTCTTCTTTGTGATGTCTCTACCCCACTCCTGCTCCATTATCAAGAATGCTAAAATAGCTAACCTATAGTTAAACATACCCTTACCCCCTTGCTGCTGTTTTATTCTGCCAGCCTTTGGGATGTCATTAGTATACTTTGAAAAAAAATCTTATTCCTAACAGCCTATAGTAGAAGATAGGTACAATTAACTTAGGTACAAAGGCATAGTTACTTAAGTACAAATAACCACTTACCCATTTGGGAGCCTAAGACTAGGCAATTAACATTCACCTAAAGCCAGGCTTGGTGGCTCAGCTTGTAATCCCAGCACTTTGGGAGGCCGAGGTGAGTGGATTGCCTGAGCCCGCGGGTTCGAGACCCGCCCGGGCAACTTGGTGAGAACTCATCTCTACAATAAATCAAAAATTTGCCGGGCATGGTAGCGCGCGCCTGTAGTTCCAGCTACTTGGAAGGCTGAGGCGTGAGGATAGCCGGAGTTCAGCAGGTCGAGGCTGCGGTGGCCGGGAGCGTGCCACTGCATTCCAGTCTGGGCGATGAAGTGAGACTACAACTCAAAAAAAATACAACTTTCTCCTAGCTATATGCCCCTCCTCACACTTGTGTACACATATCTGAAAAGTACCTGGCTGTAGCTTTGGCTAGTATCTCCTGATCAGAATCCATGACTTGCTAAGCTGGGCACAGTGGTGTGTACCCATAATCCCACCCACTTGGGAAGCTGAGGTAGGAGGATTGCTTGAGCCCAGAGTTCAAAGCCTGCCTGGGTAACATAGCAGGACCTCATCTCAAAAATCAAACAAAAAAATAAGCATGGCTTGTTATGGTCAAGATACCTTTTACATGCCTGCCTTTCATCTTGCGTATCCTCCCATATCTCTTTATTAATTTAACTCCTACCTCTTCTTCAGATCCCAGACAAATTTACCTTTTTTGCTACAAAATTATCTTTAATTATCTTTGATCACTCATGCCTACTGGGATCTCACTTTGAAATTCCAGTGACACTTATCTTCTGTAATTTCACCTAGCACATTTCATATGCTGCCTTGAACTATAGACTTTTCATTCCTATGTATTTTAGATTGTCTCCCCTTTAAGATTGTAAACTCCTTGAGGGTAGCAACCATCTGGTTGTTTTATTTTCTTTTTTGGTGGGGTGCCTTTTGACATTGAAAAGTGGCTGTGAGGCCGACTGTGGTGGCTCATGCCTGTAATCGTAGCTCTTTGGGAGGTGGAGGCGAGAGGATTGTCTGAGCTCATGGGTTCGAGCCAGCCTAGGCAACATACTGAGACTTCTTCTCTGCAATAAAGTAAAAAAATTAGCTGGGCTTAGTGGTACATGCCTGTAGTTCCAGCTACTTGGAAGGCTAAGGTGGGAGGATTGCCTGAGCCCAGCAGGTTGAGGCTGTGGTAGGCCAGCCGTGAGTGTGCCACTGCACTCCAGCCTTAGTGACAGAGTGAGACTCCAACTAAGAAAAAAAAAAGAATAGTGACTGAACTCACAAATGTTTGGGAATTTTTTGTTTTATATTCTACGTGTGACCCATAGGTGGCACCCATTAAGCACTAGACAGCTAGCAACAGCATGTGGAACATCTGACTGCCTCAGGGAATATAGATATTTTTCTTCCAGTGGTGACTCTGAGATTGAAGTATCACTCAGCACTTAATATAGTAACCTACTTAGTCCTCTAATATATGCTGTGGCTAGTTAACTAAACCACATATGTGCTCTTACACAGGCACTTACTAGAATTTTCATATTCTTTCTTTTAGGACCGGGTGACTTTTAGAAGAATTATAGTGAAAAACAATGCAAAAAAGAGGAAGATGTTTGAGTCATTTATTGAGTCTGTGCCCCTCCTTAAATCACTAGAGGTAAAGTCTGTTTGAATAAGAGTCTGTTTATGGGAATTTAAGAAAGCTATTAAAACTATTCTGAGCATTATTCTAACCTGTTTCTGTGTTATATAGATGTTGTGATTTTCTTTTTTTTTTTTTGAGTTGGAGTCTCACTCTGTCGCCCAGATTGGAGTGCAGTGGCCGCTTCCGGCCACCACAGCCTCAACCTGCTGGGCTCCGGTGATCCTTCCGCCTCAGCCTTCCGAGTAGCTGGAATTACAAGTGCACGCTACCACGCCCGGCTAATTTTTGATTTATTGTAGAGATGAGGTCTCGCCAAGTTACCCAGGCGGGTCTTGAACTCGTGGGCTCAGGCAATCCACTCACCTCAGCCTCCCAAAGTGCTGGGATTACAGGCTGAGCCACCGAGCCCAGCTAGATGTTGTGATTTTCAATTAATGTCTTTTCCTTATTTTATTTTATTTTTTTGAGTCAAAGTCTCACTCTGTTGCCCAGGCTGGTACACAGCCGCATGCTCATGGCTCCTGCAGCTTTAACCTGCTGGACTCAGGCGATCCTTCCGCCTCAGTCTTCCAAGTAGCTGGAACTACAGGCATTACCACTATGCCCAGCTATTTTTTTTTTTTTTTGATTTATTGTAAGAGACAAGGTCTCGCCATGTTGCTCAGGCTGGTGTCGAACCCATGGCTCAGGCAATCCTCTCACTTCCGCCTCCCAAAGTGCTGGGATTACAGGCGTAAGCCACCGTGCCCAGCTTTTCCTTATAATTTGTGAGTGTGTCCATTGTTTCAGGTGTCAGAACGAATGAAGATTGTGGATGTAATAGGAGAGAAGATCTACAAGGATGGAGAGCGTATAATCACTCAGGTGGGTGAGTGCCTTGCACAGCTCCTTTTCTGGAAAACACCACCTGAAGGACTAGTGCATTGCTTATGTCATAAAATTTCTTGGTCAGGCATGGTGAGTTATGGCTATAATTCCTGCACTTGGGGAGGTCGAGACAGGAGAATTATTTAAGGCCAAAAGTTTGAGACCAACCTGGGCAACATAGTGAGACCCTGTCTCTACAAAAACAAACAAACAAACAAACAAAAACCAGGCAGCCCTCTCAGATCCCCTCCCACTCTGGGAGCTTTTCTGTCCTCTCAATAAATCCTCCTTTCTAAAATAAAAAAAAAAAAATAACCTTTGTGTCCTCACACAGCTGAAAGCTCATGCTGTGAAGTAATAGGTCATACTTCCTGCAGAGTCCTCTGAAGCCCATTGATTTCCATCTCATTGACATGCAGATCTTGTTTTCCTTCACCTTTTCTTGGTTTCTAGTGCTTATTTTTTTGGATGAGATTTTCTTTTCTTCTTTCTTTTTTTTTGGGGGGGTTGAAGTGTTTCACTCTGTCGCCAGGCTGGAGTGCAGTGGCATGTCCATAGCCACCGCAGCCTCTACCTGCTGAGTTCAGTTGATCCTTCCACCTCAGCCTTCTAAGTAGCTGAAACTACAGTCATGTGCTACCATGCCTGGCTAATTTTTTGATTTGCTGTAGAGATGAGGCCTTGCTAAATTGCCCGGGCTGGTCTCAAACCCATAGGCTCAGGCAATCTACTTACCTCAGACTCCCAAAGTGCTGGGATTACAGGCATGAGCTACCATGCCCAACTTGGATGATATTTTCTTTTGACCTTAAGTAATCTTCATCTATTGCTGTTAAAACCTGGAGAAGCGGGGGAGGGGTAAGGAAGGAGGGGGATTAGGGTTCAGAAGCTACCTACAGGGCATAATGTTAACTATCTGGGGAATGGGCTACCTAAGACCCAGTCCCCACCACTGCACAGTATGTCCATGTAATGAATATGCATGTGTACTCCCTGAATCTAAAAATAAAATAAATTTTAAAAAGTCATAGCAGAGAATTTTTTGAAAAGAGAAGAATGAGAGAAGAAGGTAAGCAAAAGGAGAAATGAAAACAGCTAGACACAAAGCATTCAAGAACACTTATTATATGTTTGATTTCTAGGTGTTTTATGTGGCTTCTCATTTAATTTTCTTTATACGCCTATGGGAGAGTCTTGTTATTATCACCATTATGTAGCTCAGAACACTGAGGCACAGAGAAGTTATGTAACTTTCCCAGAATCACACAGTTTTAGGCAGTCTGATTCACCACCAGATGATACCATCTCCCAGACATTTTATTCTCACATCAGTTGAATTGAGTTCTGTTCTTTTTTGCATAATGTCCTGATAATTTGTAATTTTAATTTTGGTTATCTTTGTAACCTAGCACAATATATTTCCTTAATTTTCTTTTTTTTTTGAGTTGGAGTCTCATTCTGTCATCCAGACTGGAGTGCAGTGGCTGTGCCTGGCCACCGCAGCCTCGACCTGCTGGGCTCCGACGATCCTTCCACCTCAGCCTTCCAAGTAGCCGGAATTACAGACATGCGCCACCACACCCGGCTGATTTTTTGATTTATTGTAGAGATGAGGTGTCGCTGCCCAGGCGTCGCTGCCCAGGCGGGTCTCGAACCCGTGGGTTCAGGCAATCCACTCACCTCAGCCTCCCAAAGGCGCGGGATTACAAACTGAGCCACCGAGCCTGGC